AGTGCAGTGTTGGTTTAGTGGCTAGTAGATGTTAAATGCTTTTGAATGTCAAAAACAGTGTAGTTCATTGATATTTTGGGTCATTTATTGTCATTGTAATAGACATGCATTTCACATTTGTCAAAATTTATTTTAGATGTTACATTCTATGTTTAACCGGTTACAGCAACAAATTTTTTATTAAGATACGAACGTATCACAAATATCACTAATATGAATTTTTTCTATCCATGTTGTCTGAATTCATAGGTCATATATACCATGTACTTAGAGATGCACAAGTCACAAACTGTTTTTTCCACATCAAAGGTCACATGTCACAAACTATTTTTTCAGACTATCAGGTCACATGCCACAGGTTACACATCACAAAATATTTTTGGTCACAAATACAATGACAAATTAATTTAACTCAGGTCACAACTGTTTAAGCAAGTAATAGAAAAAATGAAAGTTCATTTAAAATCAGGTGACAAATGTTTCAAATAGGGTTACAATTGAAATGAAAGAATTGTTTGCAGATAATTATCATTTTCCAGAGTCACAATTTTCGAATACATAATAGGATAGAATATGAGTAATTAATGAACTAATGAGAATTACATCGCGACTAGTTGTAGCAATAAACTTCATTGTACTATGTTTTAGCTAAACGGAATCAGGTTAGTACATGTCATCCGATTGTGACCACTTCTTTGGCAACGTCCACAATTCATTGTTTGTTTTCTTTCACATGACAATCTTTTCCTCTTTTCTGCTGGCCTTCCCGAACTCCTCTTTTGGTTGGGTGGTAATATGACTATGCTTTCTATTTCTTGAGTCATAGTCCATTCATTTCGATTTCCGACTGGGAATACAGAATCTTGGTATGCATTCGTGTACGCCTCGCGTGTGTAAAAGTACAAATAATAATCGTATAGATCTCCCTTCGTAGTCGCTATCACCGCTAAAGTGTGTGGACACGATATCTGATCAACTTGGAGCATCCTACATGTGCACGTACGTTGCTCTATGTTGACAACAAATGTTGAGCCCTCGTTCGCAACGGAAAATATTGTCTGGTTGGCAGGAGAAACCTGTGCAGAGAAAAAACATCATGTCAGGTCAGAGATAGAATGTTCAGGTTCATTATTAGGTCACATATATTGAATTTCATGTTACATATACCATAATTACTCTCATGTTCTTCAACTTCGTGCTCATTTCTCTAATTAATTTCTCATATTTAGTAGAAAAATTCATGAAAGTACGCAAGATCCCTATTCTTACATCACCAAGATTGTACACTATCTCGGAATGACTCCAACAAAGCCACAATATGATAGTTCTTGTTGCTTTTGTGACTGTATTCACCGATTCCACTATATTAGATGTCATAGTGGAGAATCTGTTTGCCTATATGTGGAATCGTGACCATCTTTCTGGTCTAACTTCATTCTACAAAATGTGAAACTTGATTAAGAACTGAGATATACAATAACCGTAATAGTATTTAATGATTGGAAGTAGTAGCTTACCAAGTAACCCCTAATCTTCAAGTTGATCTTGTCTAACTGTTGCATATTGTACTCATACTCTGTCAATGTGTACGTACGCACAACTACATTGAATGCTTGAGTTATGTTGTGACCAGATTTTCCGTAATATGATTTCAAGTTTTGTAGTAGATTGCAAATCCCATGACAAGTTCCTGAATAAACACGTTCAATTGCATTCTTGATACTGTTGTGACGATTCGATACAAAGCATAGACCTTCCATTCTTCCATAAGCAGATTTCAACTTTTTGAAAAACCAGGTCCAGGATTTATCNTGATCCGATACGAAGCATAGACATTCTCTTGTTCCATAAGCGGACTTCAACTTTTCAAAAAACCAGGTCCATGATTTATGGTTTTCATTATCTCCAATTCCAACTGCAATTAAGAATATACTATTATTCGCATTTTTTGTACATGTTGTGAACAATGTACCACCATAGTGTCCAGTCAAGTATGTGCCATCAAAAACAATGACAGGTTTACAATGTAACCTAATTGATGTACCAAGCGCCATGAAGCAGTACTTGAATCTATTGTGACTATCAACCTCTAATCCTGTAACCGTTCCTAGATTCGTCCGTTCAAGCAAGTAAAAGTAGCTCGGTAGCTATTGGAATGACTCTTTAGGATCACCCTTGTTCATTTTCAAAGTCTTCTCACGAGATATCCAAGCTTTAACATAGTTTAAAGAAACTCCGAAGGTATGTAAGATGTCATTACATATATCATTGAGAATGTATATAGTACGCAACGATGTATACTTA